GGTGGAGTTGCTGCTTGCACTGACTACCGCCGTCCTCTGCCTATTCTGCAACCTCTCTTCTTTCTGCTCGACCAACAGCCGGTTCTCCCTGGGTGAAAATGCAGCGCAGACACTGTGCAATGGTGTCACGAAGGTACGTTGGGGTTGGAGAGAGTTATAAAGGTGTGTCTTGTGGTCTAGAGTATGAGCACAAGGTGAGTTGTGGTGTATGGTGTTGCCGTCGCAACACCACTCTAGGTGAGTAATGTTATGTTATGTATGTCGAACATTCTTGGAGGTATGTGGTTACCCAAGTTGCTACTGGTATGGAGGCGGCACTCACCTTCCCAGCGCATCCTCTCACGTTCGACCTGGCGCACGCAGTCGCTTGAGGGGACAAACAGTAATGTATCTTACGATTGCATACATGTGCTGTGCAACATTCTCATACTGTCCTTCTCTGGCTCTCGACTCCTCCCCTGATGCTTAAAGAATTGTCCCATTGTCTCTACCCCTCTACCAGCGCATCAGCGAAATAGTGCACTTACGCTCGGTACGTATAGCGAGTGACCGCAACCATGCCCAATTGTAGCTATATTGTATCACATAGTCATACGAGTCTATACGAATGAATACAGAGATTCCCCAAATATCAATCAATGGTGTGCTCTGCATCAAGACGACCTGAAACTACCCAGCCCGAAATTTCTCGAGCACAATCAATTGCTGACAATCCCCATCGACCCAAATCGACAGGATTAGTATTATATTGGGGGTTTGCACGGCGCTATACGACTCATTACGAAAACGGTCGTAAATATGGCAAGTGTTCGTGTGATTTCGGGTTGCCCGACTATATACGATCAAAATCGACACATATCGACCTGAATCCGGCACGTTCTCACTGGGCTTGAGTAGTGGGTTTCATGCCCAGTGAGAACCCCGTCTGTTTCCCACTATTCTGGTCTTTTTCAGCCGATTTCTGTCTAGCGAAAAGACAGTAATACCTAGAAATCGATAGAAATCGGTATCATTCAATGGAAAACGGTGACAAAAGGCACAAAAAGCTATTTGCCGCCGATCGACTTTTCACGTCTATTTGTATCTTTTCCCCCCGATATTGGTATGTTTCACTCTATTCAACGTCTGACAAACAGTTTGGGACAGATTACGACAGTACTGAAAAGTTCGTATGCTTCATCCGGTTCTAGATCGCGCATGGACAAGGACATTTATAGTTGGCTACTCTACGGTACATTAGTCGGATTACATAATAGTATGCTACTCCCCGCACCCGTGCGACGACATTCAGTGACCTATCACTAAGTACTGCTGCATTGCCTCACGCGCTCTTTGCTCCCTGTGCAATAACCTCGTGCGCGACTTACCTGTATGCTGTGCGACAGCGACTAGCCCACTCACCTGTGTGTGACATGTACAGACTGAGACAGTGATGCCCTGCCTGTTAGCCTCACGGTGAGTGAGTGTACCCAAGGACAGGAAGGGATGGTGAGAGGAGGGAAGAAAGGGCGCAGAGACGGGAGGCCGGCCATCGCCCACCTTTATAAGAGTGTCACGGACACTGATGGCGTCATGGACAAAGGAGCCAGGGACGAGATCGAAGACGACGTAAGAATGGATATGGTCGGAAAACCGTCGGTTGGCACACAGGCAGTATATATAGTGGACATGGATGCAACAGTAGTATATACGTCGAAGACCCGTTTGATACTTTCGATCGACGTCAAATGGTCCATTGTATATATAAAACGAGCCAATCGATATATGACAGCTGATGTAAAAACCAGCGTCGCGTTTCCCCCAGGCCTCCCTGTGCTCGGATCAGCGGCAGCCCCCTGCCGAGCCCCTCAAGCCAGCGCTCCGGCCACCTCCCAGTCGGGGGACAAGCTCGCCGTGACTGCGCGAAGTGTGCCCCGCCTCATTCTACGTGGTTTCAGAGCTACAGGACACACAATATTCTGCATGGAATGCTTCCCATGCAGATCCCCGCTGTGTGCGGGTGCTTCCAGCAGTGGACCAGAGTCGGGCAATGTCCTCGGTGTGGTATAGCTGGGGCTCGGCCGGGGTTTTCCGGTGATCCGAGCACATCCCCGGGCGCGGGGACTGCGACGCTGGTTTTTACATCAGCTGGAAACGAGCCGCTTTAGACGCCGAGCAGTCATCCAAATCGCTCAGAAAAGACGGCATTAGATGGCAATAGGCAGCAATCGTTGGCAATAGGCGGGGTTTTCACTGGGTTTCATGTCCGAGTCTTCTGCCAGCGTGCCGCTATAATCTCAGCTGTTGTGAGCATGTCCTCATTCTTGCTCCGAACGGCAAGGCTAAGTCTGCGGAAGTTACCTGAAACCTCACTATTACCTTGCGCCATCTTGCCGACAGTCGTCCATGACGTTCCCCAAGGATTCAGCTGCAATAACATGTAGGACTAGTCGAGCGATGGTGTGGACTTGAAACTTACTGAAAATTCCATTTGGATCACATCGTGCTTCTCCCACGACGACAATTTGAATTCCTCAGCTTTAAGGGTGGACGTGCCAGAATGGGGGAGTACCGATGGTTGCTGTTTAGCATCGTGCACTTAGCTCAACAGTCGTATCGAGCACATTGCCTTCGGCGCGAACGTAGAGACACTCTGGGTTGCTGCAGAGAATGGCTCGGTCGTTCCGATTCCCCTTCGCCTTCCATGACTTCCGTTCGGCTACCGGCCGGAATAGTACGTTACTCGGGTTTGGACCTTATGCAATCTCCGTACTACGCGTGATAGGGAGGCTCAATGGGCACGCTAACCATCAGCTGTATAGCTAGGTCATAAACTAGTGATACACGTATCACAACAAAGAAGTATCAATCCACACAGACGGAGAGCAGTAAGCCGAAAGAATACTGTGCTACTAATGCAATGTCCGCAAGGCCTCCTTTACCGTGCTTCGCTCGCTGAGCAGCGCAATCAGCTGCCATCGTTGGTCCTTGACCTCCCTGTCTTTCATAGTGAAGTCGTCCTCGGCCGGCTCATTTTCTCCTATGGCAAGCCGCATAGCCGCAGCTGACTTATTGGGCAGTACGGCGGGAGAGACTGTGAAGAGACTGTCAAAGGAGGCCGCTGGGAGCACGTAGCTATGCGAATGCGGTTCAGCGGCTCGGATTGATGTGATCGCATGCGAAGTCGAAGTTAGGGATAGAGCTTGCGTGATTAGCTGCTTCAGCTTAGCCTGCAGACGGAGGGTGAAGGCATGTCCGAGGAATCCAAGATTTTCTACATACCTCGAAAGCCAGCATCAAAAGCGAAGCAACCTCCTTCGAGGGTGCGCTCAAGTTATGTTGGGCTGAGATGAGATTGATACGCTCCGCAATGTGTTGCAAGGTCGGTCCGCGTGTCATAGACGCGAGGTTTAGAGGTAATCGACTACCGGGCGACTCTATTACACGTTTAACAATGCAGCCCACCCTGAACATTGCACGCTCACCTCCTCGTTCTGGAAGTAATTGGACTCCTCGCTCAGCAGCAATCTCGTCCGTGTATGGTTTAGGCACATGGGCTTCGTTGAGTGCCACTGTCTCAAGCGTGCGGATGCGGTCCCGCTCCCGCCTTCCCAGCCCAACAGTCCACTTCTTCAGCCTCTCTGACCTGAGGCTAGTCATCTCCATCGCGTCTGGGCCTTGGTATGGAAGCGTACGGCGGCGTTTCCGGGAGGGAGGTTTGGGTATATCAGGAGGCGGGGTAACAGGCGCAAGGTGCGCCGAGGTATCGAACAAAGATACAAGAAGAGCATTATGCAGATGTACTACACGACAGTGAGTCGTGGAACGTCCCGAGGGTAGGAAGGATACTCACGTAGAGGTACACTGTCGAGATAAGTCTTCACTTCGTCGTCATATTCGTTGCGTGATATGCGTCCAGACAGGTATTCTTTCAGAACATGGAAGTACTGAGGTGCCTTTGGACCTAAAGCGTTCGTGAGCTGTGCTTTGACGGTGGATGTCGAGGAAAGGGACATCGAAATCGGCCAGTCTGGGGAAGGGGCCTGGTGGTGGCGGGAGGGTACAAGCGGATTACGTAACAGTACGCGGTCGAATTCCGCTCTGCGACGTGCAATGTGCATTGACTCTTGACGCTGACGGTGGTGGCTGCTGCAGTTACCGCAGGTCAGCTTCTGCACATCGACCCCCACGCTCTAGTCCCCTTAAACCCTCATCTCTGTCTCCTATCTGTTGCGGCTGTATCCTGACCCTATCTCTTTCCGTTGCACTCTAGGCGTCTGCAGATCGTCGTCTGTGCTGTATGTCTAATATCGCAATCATATCTACCGACACGACATCCGACTCCTCTAATGTTAATCGACCTGTTACATCTAAGCCACGAGGGATATGCGCGTACTAGTAAGTCCTCAATCTACTTCTATATTTGTGGCTTCGATATTCACTGCGCACACGCGTGTAGCAAAACCGATCGTGGATGCTATCAAGGGGACAAGTGCAAGTTCCTTCATGGGGAATCAGAGCGTCTGACGCCGTTCGACAAGAGCAAGCTCTGCAGATTCTACGCTGCAGGATTCTGTAGACGTGGCGACCAGTGCTGGTTCAAGCACGTCGATTCAGCCACGCCTGGTTCGTCTAGCCGCGAACCGCCCTCAGATCCGCACGAAGAGGAGTATCTGTGTTCCATCTGTTACGACAAGCCTACCACCTATGGATTGCTTGGTGAGTATCCTGACTAGTACTTGTATGATGAAAGGGTCGTTATTGTGTGGTGATCGGAAGAGTTGCGTTAGTCCATGCCAGTGGCGGCTCGGACGGTGCTTGCATGCGCGAACATAGTATTTTTCTGTGGATGTCGTTGGGGCCTACTTGCTATCTTCATGCTTGCAAATGCATCAAATTGAGTATCACTGCGATGAATGTGCGTTAAATGCCCTTACGGATGCTCTTTACCCCGAGAATGCATCTCCTCTTCACATGTCGTAGTGCTCCGCAACGGCCTTGAGATCCTGTATACGCGCTATATGAGAGCTATACTGACTTAATCACAGTTGGTTGCAGTCATATCTTTTGCCTGCAGGTAGGTTGGCAACTCGGTAATTGAAATTCATACTGAAATGATATACTGACACCACCAATCTCCAGTGTATCAAGAACTGGCGGGGTTCCCAAGGCAAGTCATCAGACATGGTGGAGGCTGGAACTACGAAGACATGCCCCATGTGCCGTATTTCGTCGCGCTTTGTCGTCCCTTCCAGCCTCTTCCTTGCTGAGGGTGACCCGAAGAAGGCAGAGAGCATCGAGAAATACAAGGCGAGCATGGCACGTGTAAAGTGCAGGTGGGCTTGATTCATTGCACTGCTATATCTCTTTGTTGAGTATCATTCAGGTATTTCAAGCGATCTCGGCCTCAGAGGCGCTTCTGCCCCTTCGGAAGGGACTGCTTCTATAAGCATGAGAATGCAGATGGGACGCCTTACGTTTTCGACCATGGTGCTGACTTCTACATGGAGGCAAGTTTCGTTACTCCCCGAGGTTGATGTCGTGCTGATGCCTGAGAGTAACAGCAGCGGCGCTCCCGCAGTGAGGCCAACGATTTTGTATGGGAACAGGGTGACAGCAGTGGTTTCGAAGCAATGTTGAACACGATCACTCGGGTTTTCAGCAATGCACACATAAGTTCCAGTGAAATGGTGAGCTTAAACTGACCCTGAAATAGCTGCCATGGCTCAATGGCTAAACATTCTGCACAGCAGCGAGCGGTTTTGTCTAGTGTTGCCGCGGTGTTCGGTGCAGACACTCTGCCTCCGATGTACCGGTTGGACGAAGAAGACGAGGATGAAGAGGATGTAGTGAATGTGGTTGCAACGGAATCGACCGGTGATGAGTCAACGACGGAACAAGTGCCACCCCTCTCGCAACCGTGGAATGACTGGCTTGCCGAACCATATGTGACTATTCCGTCGCAAGAGGACGTAGTGCTCGATGACGATGTGTCGGAGATTCCCGGACTTGGTATTTTCTCTGGGATGTCTGGACTGCCTCCTGCAGTCGGCTCCCCAGTCTCTGTCGCTGCATCCACGCTTGACCCGACCGTCTTCGTCCCGTCTCACGTCGACAATTTACGTCCACTCCCTCCCGGACCGGAGACTGATGCCGCCCAATTCGAACGCCTTTTCCGCGAGCTTGAAGAGGACTACCGCTCCGGTCAAGGGCATGCTTTGGCCGACGCAGAAGCATCCTCGTCTCCACGGCAGCTTGACGGTCCTCAAGCTAGGCCGAGCGACGAAGTCCCTGTCCATGATGCGGATCCTCCGTTCATGACGGACGGTCGAGGACGAGTCGTATGGAGCAGTACTTCATCATCTCGGTCCCGTGGCCGTGGCCGTGCGGTCTCCTCATCGGCGACTATCCTTCCACATACCAAGTCCACCATCGACATCACTCCCGCAGAAGAGAGTTCCGAAGGACAGTCGCAGCGGGACACTGAAGATTCCAGGTTGCCGAGCTCCTCCCGTTCACTCGTCCGCCGACAATCGGTTCCCCTGCTCGTCTCGGACGCGGGCGCGGGCGCGGAGTTTGTTACGGACGGACGGGGCGGCGTCGTCTTCGCCTCCAACAACCATTGACCGATCTTATGCCACAACATGTTACGAGTATCATGACCCGAGATCCAAGCGAAAGCGGAATGAGGAGTGTAGATTTATGGTTCCATGACTTATGTCAGTCGGGGACACTTTTGAGCTACTTTCCCCGCCTGCGCCCTGTTTCACTTCAGTTTCGTGCTCAGCTGTTACCTTGCTTTTACATGTATTCCTGAAACTCAATACACCGATGTATGTATCACTAGCCGACCTCACTAGCCGACCTCACTAGCCGACCTCATATGGATGTCTTTCTACATCTCAAGTATTTCTGGGACTCATAGATTTCGACGGAGCGCTCTGCGCCTACGCTTACTTATGACGCGGGATGCGTGGTCGTTGGCGCGCGTCCAACGAACCGCTTCCAGGACGCTTGCAACCCCAGCACAGTATGCCGCTTAGAGAATCGCCATACCGTAAACGCTCCCTTCCCGGCTTTCTATCCCCTCTTCCCAGATAGCCTCTCTGCCAACTGTGGGATTGATCAGGACGGCGTACGCACCGTCAAATACTGCAGCTAGGATCCCCCACGCAAGAACTGCCACCACCCGGCCACGACTGTCGACAGTTAGCGAGATCTTCTATCGCGAATCCGAAGCATACCCCTTGTCCTCGGCCTCTTGTATGTAATTTTGTCGTAGTCTCGCCCAGCACTTCTGCCGCTCGTTATAAACTGCGCTCATCAAGTTCGAGCACTTCCTGTTCTCGCCGTCCGCTTGCCCTCTCTCCTGCCACCGTTTACCGTTACCCAAGTGTCTGATCCTTCGCTCTACGCGCCGCGCTGTCCTCCCCCGTTTCGGTTTAGCCTCATCGTCCACACATGGCAGCACCGAACGGTGATAGGCACTCGGGGGCCTCCGCAGAGTCATTGGGAAAGGCGCAGTCGGAGGCGAGCTCGGATAATGCGCCCCAAGCGCAGGCGTCATCGTCCCCGGTGCCCTCCCCGGGATCGGAGGACGACCATGGGCGCAGGGGGCGGTCGCGCACGCGGTCGCAAGTGACTCCGCGCGGAGACGAGAACGTCAAGCGTCGGTGAGTGGACGTGCATGTACGCTTTTCGCGTTTAGACAAGGGTGGCTGACTGTACCCGGGCCCCGCGGGCGTGTGATAGAGGGTACCACGCTCTCATGTCGTCATTTGGCAAGGTCTTTCATGTTGAGAAGCGGTGGAAGCTCATCCGTGAGCTGGGTTCGGGAGCGTATGGCTTCGTAATGTCCGTGGACGGGTTCTTCGGGATATCGGTGTGTCCTGAGGTGTCTGATTGCTGTTCTACCCGTCTAGCTCAGCCGCAGACGAGATTTCGGGGGAGCCTGTCGCGATCAAGATGGTCACCCGTGCGCTGGAGAAGGTCGCGCTCGCGAAACGCGTCCTGCGCGAGATTACGCTCCTCCGACACTTCGCGCATGAGAACATCACGGGACTCATCGACGTCGACTGCTCGACCGATTTGAGTGAAATGCACGTCTTCCAAACAATCGCATTAGATGCAACAAGCGGCTAACGTCTACCCTAGATATATCTTCATGGAGGTCCGTCATCCGATAGCTCATATTCGCTCCGAACTTACGTCTTATGAGCGACCGATATAAGCCTATGGAAGGTCCGCATCCTAATACCCCTCTTTGTCGCGTGTGACCCTCAAGTTATGTATAGCGGATCTTCATCAGATCATCAAGTCCGGACAGGCGTTGACAAACGAACACGTCCAATACTTCATGTATCAAGTCCTGCGAGGTCGCGTCCCGTCGCTTCAACAGCGTGTTCTCGGCTGACGTCTGCACGTGCAGGCATGAAGTATGTCCATTCGGCGTCCGTCGTGCACCGCGACCTCAAGCCGGGCAATCTGCTTGTCAATGCCGATTGCGAGTTGAAGATCTGCGACTTCGGCCTGGCTAGGGGATTCAACTCCGCCCCGGACGAAAACCCGACGCTCATGACGGAGTACGTCGCGACACGGTGGTATCGTGCGCCTGAGATCATGCTCGTATATAAGTAAGTCGCGCTTGGCGCAGCTTTGAGCAGCCACTGACCGTTGTAATAGGGCATACAACACAGCGAGTTCGTTTGCCTCTTACTTCGTGTGAATAGCGGTTGATGCTTTGTGCAGTTGACGTCTGGTCAATAGGTTGTATCATGGCGGAGCTCATGACGGGGAAGCCTCTGTTCAAAGGCAAAGAGTGAGTCCCTAGTTCTTTAGTGGTCTATCCTGCTGACCAAAAATTCAGCTATGGTTGGTGTCTTTGGTATTCTTGGTCATAGCTTCCATCCTTCTGACTGATTTCTCTGTAGTCGATCAGCTCAATAAAATACTCGACATAGTTGGTGAGTTAGCAATGTCTTAGCGATTACGCACGGGCTCATAGGAACCGTATAGGCACTCCCGAGGATGATGTGATCTCGCGAATAGCAAGTCCGAAGGTGAGGTTTACATCAGTCCTTCTCTCGTGCTCCGCTGACTGTAATCTAAGGCCGCAGCCTACCTCCGGTCATTACCTTACAAGAAGAGGGTTCCCTTCGAGAGGCTTATTCCCACTGCTGATCCTCAAGGTCAGATATATCATATGGGACTTTGCAATTTGACTGAGTCCTTCGGTAGCCCTTGATCTATTGACGAAGTTGCTTGCATTCGACCCCGCGGCTCGTATCACCGTGCGAGAAGCTCTGGAACACCCATGGCTAGCTTCCTACCACGATGTGAATGACGAGCCCGAGTGTTTTGAGGTCTTTGGGCGCTGGCGAGAAATCGAGAAGCTGGAGACCCTGCCGCAATTCCGGGAAGCAATCTATAATGAGATCGATGACTACCGCAAGGAGGTCCGCAGTATCTACTACGATGCTTCCGAATCGCTGGACCGAAGTCCGAGCCTCCGACGACAACTCTCTGAGGTGACCTCGCCACCCGCGTCCGAGGAGCTGCAGTCGCCGTTCGAGCTCAAGCCCGCAGCTGAACCGGGCGAAGCGCAATGGGTGCAATCTCCGGAGACTGCCCTGCAGATACGCGACGTTGATCCCTCAGAAGACCCTTCTACATCCACCGCAACCACCGTCGAACCTTCAGAAACCGCCGTTCCCCCTATCGCCGCCCCGTCCTTTTCGGCACCACTAGAACGCTCTTCAGAGCGACCAGGCCAGTCCGCAGACCCCGTGGTCACCTACCACCGGAGGTCCAGCTTCATGCACCCCTCACGACAAAGCTCGATCTACTCGACATACGCGGGCCGCACACGGCACTCCGCTGCATACCCCACAGAGAGCCGGAACTCGCTCGAGCGCGGCCCGGCCGAGAGCGGCGAGGAGAGCAGCATCGCGTTCCCGACGCAGGAGTACGTCGTTCCGGCGCGGTCGCGCACCGCGTCCATGTTCGGCGACACGACGACGCGCAAGCTCCTCCGCACGCTCTCGACCGTGTCGATATACGAGAGCGGCGAGGGCTTCGCGGGCGGGCTCGCGGACATCGCGCCGATCGGGAAGTACATCGTCGAGCGGGACGAGGCGCTGCCGTCGGAGATGCCGCACGAGCTCGACTCGCAGTCGCCCTCGCAGCGTCCGCCCCCGTCCGGGGGAGAGCAGAAGGACGGGGAACAGAAAGACGGGGAGCAGAAGGAGCTGTGCGAGGGTGCGCGGCGCGACAAGGCGCGATTCCACATACCGGAGTGAACTACCTGCGGGTCTCGCAGAGAGTGGCGGGACGAACCGTAGGTGGGGAACGGCTTCATATAGAGGGACGATGTACCAGTTAATAGTGTATTAGAGTTGCCCCCCAACTAGATAGATACGCATACATATGAGACACGACGGACTGATCTGCAAGTAGTAGAATGGCCATTGCATCTAGATGATACATATACAAGTGCTACATGTGCATGCCGGGTGGTGTACAGATAGAGGTGGTTGTGTGATAGTGTCAAGAATCCCCTAGGATATCCTTGATTCCTGGAAAAACATGTGAGCTAGGGCACAAATGGCCAAGGAAAAGCCACTACTCACTGTCTATGATGTCGAGGTATGCAACGCTAGCTGGGCTGTCCGGATACTCGTCCAAGAAACTCACGCCGTAGTCTGCACTCTTACCGATCCGCGGATCGAGAGGAACCGAGCCCAAGAATTCCACGTTCATATCCTGTGCCAGCCGCCGCCCACCGCCAGTGCTGGGCTTGAATATCTGTGACTCGGTTTGGCAGTTGGGGCAGACAAATCCCGACATGTTCTCCACCAGCCCGAGGACCCGGATGCCGACCTTCCTGCAGAAGTCGATCTCTCTCCGCACGTCCTGGAGCGCAACTTCCTGCGGTGTCGTGATGACCACCGCTCCGTCGATACCGCTCTCCTTGAGGTACTGGACGATGCTTAGGTGCTCGTCGGACGTTCCGGGAGGGGTGTCGATGACCAGGTAGTCGAGGTCGCCCCAGTCCACATCTTTCAAGAATTGAGAGATGAGGCCGTTCTTCTTGGGGCCTCGCCACATAATCGCGTCCTTGGACGAGGGGAGCATGAAGCCGACGGACATGACGCCCAGGTTGTCTTGAACGTAGACGGGAGACCAGCCAGAGGATGAAGAATGCACTTGTTCTGACGCGATGCCAAGAATGGTGGGTATTGAGGGGCCACAGATGTCCACGTCCATAATTCCAGTCTGATTCGATCCATTGAGCTTCGGAAGCCTCAAGCAAGTCCGAGGAGACTTACCTGTAGCTGCCCATCTGCAGCGAACGCCCACCCAAGCTGCGCAGTGAATGTTGACTTCCCGACTCCTCCCTTGCCCGACAAGACGAGGATCTTGCGCTTGACAGTAGACATCCGCTCTCGGACAAGCGGGAGCGCAGGGTCAGGGCCCCGTGTCTGCCCGGAGGCGCAGATCTCTTGATTGGCACATCCTGCACATGCGTCTGCTTTCCCTGCTAGCTCTGATTCCGTTCCCTACATATGGGCAACGTTGGTGTGAGAGCTGAGAAGACGACTTTGAATACTTACTGGACAGTGTTCTGGGGCGTTCGCCGGAACTGAGAGAGGATCAGGTGCGGGCGCTGCATGCTGCAGAGCAATCATTGTAGAAGAAAGCAACAAAGTGGGTCTAAGATGCAGATAGACTCTTGAAGGGAAAACGTTGTCCGAGTCAAGCGTCGGGTACGAGGTCGGAGGAAGGCAGGGAGCGCGATCGACTTTGTCATCTTCTCCAGTCTAGTCGATCTAATCTAATCTAATCTAAACGAGACTGGACTGGATCTAATCCGGTCAGCGAGTCTCCCGAATCGGTGGTGTAAGCTCCGTCAAGGTGCTCTCCGTCTCGCGGTCTTTGCATAGGACTTTGACTGCAGGTACGACTACTCATATTAACGGTTCCAAGTTCTGTGAGATAGGTGTGTTACTCACACCACTAAATAAATGCTGTTCTTCCTATTAACCCGCTCATCTCGCTTGCGTAGAGATGGACGCCGCGCAACCCATAACGCTACCCATTTGTACCATTCAGCACGACTTCCAGACTGGAGTAATCAAGGATGTTCTCAATGGCGTCGTTCCGAACGATAAGTTCTGGATCTCGTGCTACAAGTATGGGGAGCCATCCGTGCATGGCAAAGCATCCGCGACTTTGGCAGAACACAATCGGGATCTTGTTCTGTTTGAGGCTCGCGATGGCGTAGAATTTAAGGAACATAACAAGGTGAGTCCATTTCCCTGTTGGAAACGCTTTCATTGAGCATACGAGCAAAGACCCTTCACACATCATAGAGCGTGTATTCTATTTCATGCCCATCCTTGGATATTCCGGAGACTAGGATAGCGATCCCCGATGCCACCTTCCCGAGCATTGCAGAAGTCCGCAAGGTACGTTTGTCGTCATATTGGCCATCAGTGCACCTCTAAGACCAGCTACCAGCAAAAGCAAATCACCGCTTTTGACGTTTCTCCTGACGGCTCACAAATCGCCACCGGCTACCACGACGGCTCAGTGTACATCCGCCCCGTGTCCTCTCCCCACGCCATCCCCTCCGCCGCGAGTAAAGCACATCTCAGCACAGTCACCTCCCTGCGCTTCTTCCCGTCGTCAAGAGTAGTCTTGACGTCCGGCGCCGATTTCTCTCTGTCCATCTTGCCCGCAGATCCCCCGGAATCTTCGCCGTACACCACGGCCAAGGTCGACGCTGCACGCACACTGCGCGGACATACACGTGCAGTCACATCGACTGGGATCGTCGCTCGAGGGCGCAACGTTCTCTCTGGCTCCAAGGACGGGACGCTCCGTCTCTGGGATATCCCCTCCGGAGCGCAGATACGCTCTCTCGCCGCTGGTACCAACCACTTCGTCCCCGTGCTCGCGCTCAGCACCGGCGAACGCCGCTGGCAAGGGGCAAACGGTGCCATTGACGACCAAGCTGTCGCCGCAGACACGGACCCGCGAGAAGTAGATACCTCGGACAAGGTCGTATTCTCCGCGCTGCAGGACGGCTCCTTCGAGCTGTTCGACCTGCGCACGAAGCGCGCAGAGTTCCGCTCCAAAGTTGGGCCCCCGGGCGCACGCTCAGGACTGCAGGCGCTCGAATATAGCCCTGGACAGTGTCTCCTCGCGACGGGCTCCGCGTCGGGGATGGTCTCCCTATACGACCCTCGGACACTCGGAGGTGAGCCGGTGGTCGTATTCAGGCGAAATGAGGCGCCCATAGAGGACCTCGCGTTCGTGAACCTCGCAAACGCGCCCTTCTCATTCGGCTCGCCGACGACGAGCACAGGGGACGTCGGTCTCGCGGTGGCGACCGAAGATGGGCTGCCGTACTTGGCCGAGGTGCGCCCCTCCGGGCCAAGGGTCCGTGCGGAGCTTGTGGGCACAGATTGCGATGCTGTACGGTTCGTCCGCGCCGTCGGCAGTGATGTTTGGAGTGCTGCAGACGATGGGGTGGTCAGGCGGTATCGGTCATAATCCGCTAGTTTAGCATGTACTCAGCCTACCGATCGTGTTGTCGCGCGAGGCACTCATTTGATTATTTGAAGTCACTTGTATTGGCTCGAGGGCCTCACCTCTCCCGTGGATGCTGAGCTTGGCCCGGTGTTCGACCGAGGAGCCAGAGATTGTCCAGAATACGTCCGATACCAGAGATCGAGCGGTAGTCACAGGCTATAGCTCACTTTCGCCGGAAGAATGTACATCGATCCATGAGTCCATTGTATAGTACAGGAGTAACGTATACACTGGTGATAAAAATCAAAACTAGAAGTGAAGGTGTGAGCAGTGTGTTGTCCTCCCTTGGAGGGAAACGCACCAAAGCGGGTATGAAGTCAAGCCAGTCTGCTAACCACCGGGACCGCAGCGTTCCGAGAGGGCATCAAAGCGTTCGCAAGGAGGTGATTGCAAGTCCGTAGTCGCTCGCGACGAGCGACAAACCATGAGCTTGCATCACACGGGACGGCGAGCGGTGCACCGATGACTCCACGATCGTGCGCTATCCGTACAGCGCGCACAAGCGAGTCGAGCTCTGCCTCCGAGTCGACGTCGTCCAGGTTCTCGTACACATCGTCTGTCGGGCCGACCTGAGCCGCAGCCTGGATGGCAGCGGCGGTGGCAGCAGTGACGGTCGCCGCCTTGCCCTTCTTCTTCGTCGTCCCGCCCACGGCCACCGCCGCGCCCTTCTTGCTCGCGTCGCCCCCGATGGCGGCGGCGGCCTCCATCGCAAGGCGCTTCTTCTCCGCCTTCTCGCGCTCCTTGCGTTCCTTCCTCTCGGCCTTGCTCTCCTTCTTGACAGGCTCAACCCAATTCGGGTTGTTCGCGCGGTTCCAATCGAGTAGGAGCTCGTCGTACGGCTTGGAGCGGCCCTGCACGGCGCGCTTCGAGCCCATGGAGTGGGACTTGCAGGTGAGGGAGCGCGAGCAGGGGAGACCCTTGTCATTGATGACGCCGCACTGCTTGTCATAGTCGACGGGACCCTTGACGCGGCTCCGGGCCTGCTTCTTGGTCTTCGGCGCGTTCGGGTCCTCCGCGTTGGGCACCTCGTCCTCAGCTTTACGCTTTTTGCCTTTCTTGTCTGCCTCACGACCGCGAGTGTGTCAGCTGGAGGTCAGGAAGCACGAGCTCAAGGGAAGAGCGGGAAGGGGGCGCGCGACGGATACATACCCTCGACTTCGGCGGCCTTGCCCTTCGCGCCCTTCTTGCTCCCGTTCCGGATCTTCGCGCAGTTGTCTGGTGTTCGTGAAGCATCCACTCGTGTTCGGAGCAGACACAGTGCATACCTGCATGTTCGAGGACTGCGCTGCGGAGGACGGGCTTGAGACAGTCCTTGCACTTGACTACACCGACTTCCTGCACGAGTGGCTGGGCGCCGAAGGTCTTCATGTCGCGTGCGGACAGCCATGATGTCGGTGGTGAGGGCGGTCGTTCGATGTCTGAAGGAGGTGTCTGAGGCAGAAGCTCCCACGTGAATGGCGAAGCGGGAGGAGAGGGACTGGACTTGATCTTGAGAGGCATGGATGGGGCAGAGTGTATGCACTCTACGGCGAAGCTCTCGAGTACAGCAGCCATTGACGCCCGAAGAAGCGCCAAGGAAGGCCACGTGCCACCGCCCAAGAATGGCAAGGGAAGAGTGAGCAGCAGAGGACTGACGTCAGAGAAGGGCGCGATTGGATCGTCTGGAACCCAACATGGCTGTCAAGTCTTCGCAGAAATGCGGCCGCGTCCAGATCGTGTATATAACCAGTCACGTCCCTCTTCGTCTCCAGACACGTCCCCGCCTTCTATCGCCCCATCAGCCCATCGTCGCTACAACCCGCCATGGCCACCGCCGCGAAGAGGGCCAAGGCCACACTCACCTCCGTCACGATCCCCAAACACAACCCCGCAGACGCGAACGGGGACGCGCCCAAGACTCCCAAGACTCCCGCGGACGAGGGCATCGAGTTTTTCGAGTCCGCCACGAGCCAGGAGCCCATACGCGTGTATGAGTTGCACCTCGATCCTGATGGCGGTCCGAACAAAGACAGATCTGTTGAGTGTCCTTTCTCGCATTCTGAAACAATCCTCGTCATGCTACATCGCATCCCTGCTGTTGATTTGTCGCATCGGAACCCCGGCTGACCTTTTCGTGTAGTATATGCGCCTGCCCCCGGCGTACACGCCGTATGTCCTCCGCGTATCCCTCGATGCCGGAACACCCGCCTCCCGCAACGGCGTCTTCAAGACCAACTTCCCCCTTGACGGTGGCCGCTTCGAGCGTGATCGCTTTGCCGAGCGAAAGTGCGCCCTTCTGATCTCTGCATAAGGGTCACCAGCTGACTCGCCACAGGCTCCCCACGGACTTCTCGTCCCCCATCCAAGTTAACCTGCCCATCTCGCATGCCGGCGCGTTCGTCTACTGGGTTGAGTATGACGGCGACACCCCAGGCTCTCGTGTTAAGGGTCGCGAAGGCTACTTCAACATCGATCCCATTCTAAGGGTCAAGGCGAGGACCCCCATTGTTTCCGAAGGTGCTATTGTCGTAGATGGGTCTGCAGTCAAGTCCGACTACGTGAACCTCCCCCTCGATGGGCTTTCCGTCTTGACTCTCGTCTCGAAGTGGATGGGCCCAACGTCAGGCTGGAACGAGTACTTCGCCGAGACCAGCGCGAGGGGCTACAATATGATCCATTGGACGCCTCTCCAGGAGCGTGGGGAGAGCGACAGTCCATACTCTATCCGTAACCAGCTCGTATACGAGCCGTCCATGTTCCCTGATAAGCACCTTGGTAAAGACGGCGGCAAGACGAAGTTGGAGGATATTCTGAAGGTAGCGAGGGAGGAGTATGGGTTGCTCAGTCTGACAGACGTTGTCCTTAACCATACGGCCAATGACAGTCCTTGGCTGCTTGAGCACCCAGAAGCAGGTGTGTTTTGGAAAGTCGTCATCAAGTCATGTTTCGCTTATTAACCTCTCTCCCTAGGCTACAGCCCTTCAAACACACCGCATCTTACACCAGCGCTGGAGCTCGATACCGCTTTACTCGAGTTCTCTGCTACTTTAGAGTCGAGAGGCCTTCCGACGGTTGTGACGTCAGAAAAGGACATTACCCAAATCCTGGAGGGCTTCGAGAACTACCTCAAAGAGCTCAACATATGGCAGTACTACGTTTTCGACGTGAAGCGGGAGCGAAGCGATGTCAAGGAGGCACTGGAGAAGCAGGACGTTCTTGCTTGGGATGGAGTTGACATTGCAAACAAGACCGTTGTCGAGCTCGCAGAGATCCTTCGCAGCTCCGGTCGCATCGAAGGGCACCGCAAGCTTGAAAAGAGGTTCGGCACGCACGTTCCTGGCCCGACTGCTGCTGGTTTCGTTAAGGCGGCTTTTGTCAACCTTCAAGACAGTGACGCGCTGGCTGATGCATGGATCCGCGTTGTGGACGTGCTCAACGTGCCCCTCTACGAGGAATGGAATGAGGATACGAAGGCCGCGCTGGTGCAGATCGGAAATCGCGTCAAGTATACGCGCCTCGAGGAGCATGGTCCTAAACTGGGGCCTATCACGAAAGCGTACGTCGACTTCGGCTACGCTATGGGCACTCGAGCTGACGTTACGACAGCAACCCGATCGCCGAACCGTATTTCACTCGACTGAAGGACACCGAGCCCGAGATCTACTCTGTCGCTAACAATGGATGGATCTGGAATGCGGATCCGCTCGCCAACTTCGCCTTATGGCCCTCAAAGGCATATCTCCGACGCGAAGTCATCGTCTGGAGCGACTGCGTCAAGCTCCGCTACGGAGATGGCCCGTCGTCGAACCCTTGGCTTTGGGAGTACATCACCAAGTACGTCACGGACCTCGCAGCGACCTTCGATGGTTTCCGGATCGACAACTGCCACTCAACCCCGCTGCACGTCGGCGTTACCCTGCTCGATGCCGCGCGCGCTGCAAACCCAAACCTCTACGTGTGCGCGGAGCTGTTCACGGGCAGCGAGGAGATGGACACGATCTTTGTTAGTCGGTTGGGCATCAATTCGTTGATTCGAGAGGCAGGGAACGCTTGGGATCCGAAGGAGCTATCTCGTTTACTCTATCGTCATGGTCTTGGGAAGCCCATAGGTTCGTCGCACCTCTATATTTACGCGGGCACCAGTTCACTTCGCTTTCGCCAGGCTCGATGGACAGTGCATGCATGACAAGCAAGGACGAGCTCCCTCCACCTACCGGCAAGGGCCCGACCCGGGACTGCATTGTCATCCCGCACAACGGCTCGGTGCCGCACGCGCTTTTCTATGACCTCACGCACGACAACGAGTCGTACTTGCACAAACGCTCTGCCGAGGACGCGCTCTCGACTGGCGCGCTCATCACGTTCTCGTTCTCCGCAATCGGCTCTGTCAAGGGCTTCGACGACCTCTATCCGAAGCTGCTTCACCTCGTCATGGAGAAAAGGAAGTACGAGGTCACGCATATCGGAGAGAACAGCGGGATTGCGAGGGCGAAAAGGATCTTGAACGCGTTGCATACGGAGTTCGCGTTGAATGGGTATGAGGAGGGCCATGTTCACCAGGAGAACGATGTAAGTCCGCCATCGTTATTGACGGCCTACGTTCTGATGACGCTCGGCAGTACATCGTCCTTCACCGTGTACAGCCGCAGACGCAGAAGGGGTATCTCCTCGTTGCTCACTGCGCCTTCCAGAAGGGTTCGAAGGACCGAGGTTTCAGTGAGTCGTTATCACCAGTCAATCTCTTGCAAAACTGCCTCTAGACATGTGATCTGCGCAGTCACACCTATCAAGCTTCGCAGCACGAAAGCCAAGTTCCTCTACGGCGCGCACATCGACTTCTCGTCCTACGAAGACACCGCCGATCAGACCACACTCCGAGGAATGGCCGGCAAGCTCGTGGAGATGCCGCAAGTCGTCGTACCTCAGGGCATGGACGCCGAGGGTCCATACGCGGAGATCGTCGTCCCGGAGTACTTCCCCCCGGGCACTATCATGCTGTTCGAGACGCACCTCCAGGGCCTCGATAGCAGCCTGGATCAGTTCTGCTCTTCGGGCGCGGAGGAGGCGTTTGGCGACCTCGACCTCGTCAACCTCAACGTTGTTCTTTTCCGCGCGGAGGGAGAGGAGCGCGATGCGACGGGCGGTGAGATCGGAACTTACAATGTTCCCGGAATTGGCAACCTTGTGTATAGTGGCTTCGAGGGATGGATGCACCCGCTCCGCCATATCATGCGGTACAACGACCTCGGGCATCCGCTGTGTGGTCATCTTCGCGAAGGAGCGTGGGCGTTTGATTATGTTCACAGCCGCCTATTCAAGTACGTTTGGCATTGTCTCCCTCGCGTGGTCGCTGACGACCCTGCAATAGGCAAGTCGAGGTCTTCCCGAACCTCGCCAAACCGGCAAAGTGGCTCAAGGAGCGGTTTGATCGCGTCAAGGAGTCTGTCCCTCCCTTCCTGAGGCCTAAATACTTCGCGATCATTATCTCGGAAGCATACAAGGCCGCGCGTCGGGCCGCTATTGAGCAAAGCTCGAACTTCGTCGTGACTGGTCACGACTTCACTCACAACCTCGCCCTCTGCTCCGTGCAGATGTACGGCGAGGTCAAGTCTGCATCGCTCGACCCTGGAAAGCCTACGCCGTCCGTGGCAGCAGGTCTGCCGCACTTCGCTACCGGGTGGGCGCGCTGCTGGGGACGGGACGTGTTCATCTCGCTCCGCGGCCTCTTCCTCACAACAGGCAATTTCGCAGCCGCGAAGGCGCACATTCTCGCGTTCGCGTCCGTGCTCAAGCACGGTCTCATCCCGAACCTGCTCGACTCGGGCCGGACACCGCGCTACAATTCGCGTGACTCGCCCTGGTGGATGCTGCAGAACATCCAAGACTATGCGCTGAGTGCCCCAGACGGACTCTCAATCCTTGGGGAGTCAGTGAAGCGCCGCTTCCCGGCGGATGACACCTGGGTGCCGTGGGACGACCCGCACGCGTTCGCGTACTCAAGCACGATCGCGGAGGTGATCCAGGAGATTGTGCAGCGACACGCGAGTGGGATCTCGTTCCGCGAGTACAACGCGGGCCCGAATTTGGACATGCAGATGAAAGACGAGGGGTTCAACATCGATATCCATGTGGACTGGACGACGGGCTTGATCCTGGGCGGGAACCGGTACAACTGCGGGACGTGGATGGACAAGATGGGCGAGAGCGAGAAAGCGGGGAACAAGGGGCTACCCGGTACTCCCCGTGATGGCGCGCCGGTGGAGATCACGGGCTTGTTGAAGAGCACGCTGAGGTGGCTGAGCGAGCTATCGGCGAAGGGCAAGATCCCGTTCAAAGGCGTCGAGGCTGAGAGTGAGTGATTCGCGATTGGTTTCGAGGAATCTGGACTGAAGGTGGCGTGCACAGTAAACGGAAAGAAACGTCTCGTGACGTACAAGGAGTGGAGCGATCTCGTCCAGTCCTCCTTCGAGAAGTGCTACTATGTCCCGACTGGTGCGCATAGTCATCGTCATCCCTACTGACTGATGTCTCATACTTTCTCAGATCCCAGCGAAGACGTGAAGTACAATGTTAACTCGCAGCTCGTGAACCGCAGGGGTATTTATAAGGACGTCTACGGCACCCCTGCGGAGCGTGAATGGGCGGACTATCAGTTCCGTTCCAACTTCCCCATCGCGATGACGGTCGCGCCAGAGTTGTTCGACGAGCACCACGCACTGGGTGCGCTCAAGCTCGCCGATCAAATTCTTCGCGGTCCTCTGGGTATGAAGACTCTCGACCCAGCGGACTACCAGTACCGTCCTTACTATGACAATGCGAACGACGGTACCGACACGGCTGTAGCGAAGGGTTGGAACTACCATCAGGTATGTATCAATTGGATTGTTGACTGGCCAGGATCCCTTGATCAACATCGTGCAATCTCTACCTAGGGTCCCGAGTGGGGTTGGCCACTGGGCTACTTCCTGCGCGCATACCTCTACTTCGATACTAGGGTCGGAGCCGGCAAAGAGGTGCGTTCGTTATACGTACTACTCCGTCGACGTGTGATTGACGAGTTCCATAGGATCCTACGGTAACCTTGCATCACCTCCATCGCATCCTCTTGAAGCCTCGCGAACACATTCAGAAGGACCCTTGGGCCGGCTTGCCCGAGTTGACAAACAAAGACGGGGAGCTCTGCCGCGACTCTTGCAACACGCAGGCGTGGAGCGCGAGCACCCTCCTGGACTTTTTGGAAGAAGTACACAAGTTCAGTGCATGAACTCCGGGAGTCTCGGCGCAGCACAAGGAACATACATGCATATCTTGGACAGTCCGCACATCATAACCATCGACAAGTTCGTCTGTTAAGACCATCATCATCACATACATGCAGGTTCGTCCGTAGTAGCTGCAGTCTTTCTTCCTTGTAGACCACGATTGTATCACGAAGACATGCATTCATGTATACACGATGTCAGCAATATACCATCATCTTCTGTACAATCACTAGATTCCGATATCACTAGATTCCGATACCTCCGTGTTCTCGACGCATGTGCGCATACACCCCTCCACCACTATCAATGTCATTAAAAGTCTTCAAGCAGACCCAGCACATGTGTGTTCCACATCGCGCACAAGTCATATGATTGCAGCCGCCGCTCTTCTCCAAGTCCGCCTTGCAGCTAGGACAGGACTTGATCCCGTTTTCCTCTCGCCAGCGGCGAAACACTTCGTTGCCCCCTGACACATTGTCCTTGAATTCGACACAGGTCAAGCCTTCATGGAACTCTACGTGGCAGGAGGCGCAAATCCTGGCAAGGCAGGAAGGGCAGCGGAGGACGGTATCATCCGCAGACGAGCGATAGATCGTCTGGCAGTCGGCCGTGGGACAATAATAGAACTCCTGGGGACGACTGTGGACGTGAGATAGGAGTGTAGCTTCGAGCAGCTGTTCTTCCTCTCCTGGCGACAACAAAGAGCGGATGATGCCAAGGGGAACACCTCGACCACAGGCACGGCGTGAGCCGTTGGGCTGAGTGGTTTCAGCGAGACAAGCTGCGAATACTTGGGATCCGCCTTGGGACTGCCCGACAGAGCTCAAGTAGTGTTGCAGGCAGGCACGACAATAGCAATGCCCGCATGGCAATGTAAGCGGTTCCGCGGTGTCGCAAAAGCAGACTGGGCATTGGCCGTCGTCCGGTTCGATCGATGAGCGGACGCGCTGTCCACCGCCGAGTTGGCCGGCGACGCTTTCGCGGATAGCGCGAACCTCGCTTTCGTCCCCTCGCAGGACGAGCCGTCTGCGTACGACGTCAAAGCGCACTTTATCCTCATAAGCAGTCTGCAGCTCTTGATATCCGCCATGAAGCATCCGACGGAACGCCTCCTGATCCAGATCCAAGAGGTGCTCTTGTGCCTGCAGTTTCGCGAGTACCACGAAGAGGCGAGTTTTGGCGGCCGTACGTCCATGCTGATCACCAAAGAGGTGAAGTGTCCGAATTCGCGCGTCGCACTTGATGTACGTGTCTGTTTGAGTCGCTATACTGCTCAAGACTTGAGTGCCGCTAGCCGTGGAGTAGTGATCATGCCATGCGACCTGCCCGTCCGCGTCCAAGACAGGGTCCCCAGCGAGCAAGAGCTCTATCTCCGTCTTCAACCGCCCCAAGCCCTTCGCGTCAGGTCCATAAGCGCGTATGCAGACCCTTTCTGCCTCTCGACCGTACTCATCCTTGTCATGGTAGCGTAGCTTGCATGTTTGAAGGATCTCCCTGAGCGCGTCTATCTGAGGCCGGAGTACTTGGAATTGAGCGGAAGGAAGCATGTATTTGATAGAGTGGACGAGTTCTAGGAAAATAGGACTACCGCGGAGGAAACTCTGACGCTTGGTATGGAGCATGGCAGCCGCTCGCTCCGATTTATCCGCATCCGCGAACTGCACGAACGCGACGAGCTTGTATTTCCCCTGTGCGGGTGGCGCGAAATCGAAGGCTTCTAGAGACCCATACGTGGCGAGCAGCTTGCGCAGCTCTCGGACCGAATCCTCAATCATGAAACTCGGGGAGCCGAGAGCCACAGAATCGGATCGGGTGAAGATCTTCAGGCTTGCGGAGGATGTATCGAGAGGCAGACCTTTGAGCTCCACGGAAAAGGACGACCGCTGGTACCGAGATGGGGTCTGGAAGGACGCGTGCAGGGTCGCGCCGCGGAAAGTTTGTCCATCCAGGCGTTTTGCCTGTTCCCTTGCCTTAGAAAGGGTTGCATAGTGAGCCCAGGCCACGAGGCTGGGGGCGAACCAGCTGAGCTTCGCCTTTGTACTACGCAAGACCGCTTTACCGCTCTCAGCGGCTCGGAGATCTAGCCTAGCTGTAGCGCCGCGAAGTCCCTTCGCGTTTCCCAGCTCGGCCGCTGCTCGCGCCGCGCCAGCGGTTTGGACGTACTCGATTCTTCCCGAAGTTGGAGAAACGCCATCGCGCGCAGGGACGATGATCACGCTTTTGACAGGGCCAAACGGTTCCGCCAGATCAACAAGTTGCGTGTGGGTCACGGAAGAGGGGATGTTGTGAAGCAGGACGATAGTGGATTCAAAGGCAGTCTCGATGTCCTGCACGCAGCCCCCAGGACCGTATACGATCTTGCAGCCAAATTTGGTTCGGTCGACGCTTGGCTGTTCATCGTGAGACGTGCTATCCGATTTGGCTGCCTCCCCTCGCTCTACAGCCTGTCAGGGAAAGATGAGCTGATGCAGAGATTTCTGATAGCCTGACTTACGGAAGTCTGTTTCGGACTAAAGCTCCCATCTCCGCCTCTCGCAGACGCTATGTCCGCGCCAGTAACTGGTGCGACCCCCTATGCCCACGTCAGTCAGCAACGGTGCCCCACAGGGATCAGAACTGAGCACTGAATCTCACCGACACAACATCCGCAACCTCTGAGATCGGCGGAATATTCACATCATTGCCGGCCTGTTGCTGGGAATGCCAAAAGGAACACGTAGAGCCTTTGGAACAGTTGCCTTTCACAAAGAATTTGCAAGCAACTAGTATAGATCGCCGTTGATACGGGTCAAGTCAGCGATGGGTACGGATGCCCCATCCAGGAGGTGCACGTACCTGATCCGAAGGCACTTGCTTGCATCGACGAAAGATCTGACTCTCCTTTAGGAACAATAGCAGTCGCGGGATGCGAGAAAGGACACGCGGTGCCCTTGTTGCATGCGCCTCGCGCATAAAACTTGCACGAGCCGAACGTGGTCGATTCCGAGAGTGCGCGGTAAGAAACGATTGTATTCGCGGTAGGTCGAGTAGCAGGGGCTGCTAGAGTGTCCGTCCCATTGGAGAGATGGCCTGATGATGAACTAGGATGGGAGAAGAGACAGCTGTCTCCGAATCTGCAGGTTCCTTGTCTGTAGAATCCGCAAACCGTCGTGACCAGTGGCTTCCCGCGATCACGTACCGTCTGGGATGACTGCGGTGGCCCGTTGGGGCTAGCAATACCGTGAGAGAACTTGCAGTGGACGCCTCGAGTACAACTCCCTTGGCGATAGTATAGGCACGGTCTTGCTGGTGTCGCGGCGGTTGACTGGGTCATGATCCTAGGTATTGGCAGGTTGACGCTATGACAGCTCGAGAGGAAGTTGAAAGTCAGGAGCTTGACAGGACGATTCAAGGTTTAAGGTTCAAGGTTTATGCCTCGTGTGTGTCACGGACGTTGGACAGACGCCCCTTTTTGCCGCCCATTCCCCTCCCCTTGACGCCCACCTTCCATTTTCGGACCATTTCCTTTCTTAGCCCATCCCAGTTTGGACACTGCAGATACGTTCCCACACCCGCATGCTACGTTCCCGTGATCACCATGCCTTTGCCTTTTCCTTCCCGCCCTTTGTTCTCCCTTTGTCATCTTCACTGCCTCGCTCTCGCGCCTTGTCTTTGGTTGCTAAGCAGCCCTTCTAGTATATAAGGACCCCCTTAGGCACTCCCTAGTCCCCATCTCGACCTCTTGGTCATTGGGACTAGGTGAGTGACCATAGCGTTGTATCTCCCTCCGATTGCTAATGTATAACTTGGTCATTGGGACTAGTCTGTCGCTGGTTG